TTCGGAAGGAAGCACCGCCAGCAAACAAAAGTTTCTGAGCATCCTCTTGAGAAAAAACAGAAGCCGCTGTTGAAGAACAGGTGACTCGAGGTATCCAGCCACGACAGGACAAGTGTGAAAGATACGGAGAACAATATCTAAAAACGCAAATGTAGGTGATGCAGTGAGTTTAACACTGAGGGTATGGACGCTGGCCCCAAGAGTAACGGATTGTTTTAGCTTCCTATAGTGAGCATGATAAGAACCGATGATAATCAAGGTGACTCTTCAGAGATTGGAGGGTCAATATTCAGTTCCAATTCAGATGGAAGCTTGTGTCATTGTGGACTTACAAGCATTTGAAAGCCACCAGACCAGGCGCCAGACCGAACTTCTCTGCTGGACATGAGAGAAGAGCGTGGCTGCCGGTGACCTAGAGAGCCGGCCTTACGCCACGGGTAGGAATGCGTCAGGAAAATGCCACATCCGCGTAGCCACTGAAAGGCACAGTCTCCAGCACTGTGTACTTGCAGCCACACTCTCATAAAAGAAGCATTTCTCTTGCCTGATGAGTGCTCTGAATTTCTGAGCCACACCTGGGTGATCAGCATTGCCAAACGTTTTGTCCATCTGTGGCCTTCTCTCCCTCAAGACCTCAGAGTGACAGAGGACAGAAGTTGCAGACTCATCTGACTTCTAGAAGGGAGTCTGCGAGGCTATTGTAGGCGCTGCACCTGCTCCGTCTGTGGACTGAGATATGAATACGACGGGCGGGGAATACCCATGTGTCTATGTCCTTTGCCAGTGGGAAAGGCCTGCCTTGGAGCCACATCAAGACAAGGGTTGAAAGTGAAAGAAATATTTATACCTTCCTTTAGGAGTCATCCTCGGGATTAAATTGTATTTCTTCATTCTTGTAGTCTGGAAGTAAAGCTTGTAGAAGGGAGGAAGCAAAGATTCCTTAGATTATCTTGTGGTCGAATCAACAGTGTTAAAAAAGAAATTGAGAGATGCTGAGGATGTTTTTCAATATTCAGAAAAAAAAGAGGGTACTCCTGCCAAATACTTGGTTATTGAAGAAAGACATGATATCGTAGCCTTCGCAAACACCCCTTCTTATTTTGGAAGCGTTTATGTATGAGTTGTTTTGTAAATTTGTCAATGATATTTAAATTCTTAAGGGGAAGGTGCTCAGAGTTCTGATCCTAAAAGCAACATGAGAGAGAAATATAATTTTTTAGTGTTTCTTTTATATTTACAAGAATACTACCTCACTTTATAAGCAGATAAATATATACTACATTTATATATACATTCGCAAAATTATTCATTTTTAGAAAGCTTTTGTTCTGTGGAGGTTCGTTGAAATTGAGAGTTCCCATCATGCATTTAAAATCAAATGCAGGGGCGCCTGGGTGGCTCAGTGGGTTAAAGCCTCTGCCTTCGCTCCGGTCATGATCTCAGGGTCCTGGGATCAAGCCCCGCATCGGGCTTTCTGCTCAGCAGGGAGCCTGCTTCCTCCTCTCTCTCTGCCTGCCTCTCTGCCTACTAG